CTGTTTCCCAATGTTTGAACTATTTTTGCATAGACTAAAGTACAAAGCAGTGAAAATCATTAACAGACACTCGTTCGATGGGTTGAATTGCACAAAACGCATGATCGCATCCGCTAGTCTGGTGCGAGTTGCCATTTATTTACCATTGGTTTGCAGCTGTTAACTCCAAAACGGCGAGTCGACATATTGCGTGATGTTATGGAAGCGAAGCGTGAAAAGCGGCCCTATGTAATTGTCTTCTGCGGCGTTAATGGTGTTGGAAAGTCGACAAATCTGGCGAAAATTACATTTTGGTTAAACGAAAATGGTGAATTCATGCAAAAATTTTATTCGAAGAAGAACGTAGTTTGCCGTTTCAGGTTGCAGTCTCGTGAGTGATAGTGGGACGCGGTGTTAGTCATTTGTTTACAAGAATTTTTTGTTCTTTTTTAGTGTCACCGTGGGCAGTATTGAACTAGTGCGTAGTCTCTTTACTGTGCTACTTTTTTAGGGTGTAGCGCCCATTCAGGAGTGGAATAATGCATCACACAGGGCCGGAATCTCTGAAATAGAAGAATAGAAGGATTTCACTTGAATGTCATGTGTATGAAGATGTTTTATGACGCATTCTGTGTTTCATCCCTTAGCTGTGTACACAGTCCCATCTGATAACTTTGTTGGAGGAAGAGGAGGAGGAGGAGGCAACTGTCGCAGCTGAAGCGGCAGAACTGATCAAACAGCATTTGTCTGTTGACAAGAATGCTCGTTTCTTGACCGAAGGACTGGGCATGCCCGAGAGGCCAGAAGTTTTGGAGCACGCCTGAGTGCCCCTCTTTTATGTCAGCAACATCCGCACATCTGTGATTCAGGCAACACTTGCTTTTGGCCGTTACCGTGCCTCAGCAACGCATTAATGCTGCCCTCTCGGGCATGTCCAGTCCTTCGGTCAAGAAACGAGCGTTCTTGTCAACAGACAAATGCTGTTTGTTTAGTTCTGCCGCTTCAGCTGCAACAGTTGCCTCCTCCTCCTCCAGCAAAGTTATCAGATGGGACTCTGTCAGGGCGCATTGCCTTCAGTCACATCTACGCCAGCTGATTCGCGCTCTGCCTCGTCAGAATTTATCGGAACGGACCATTCAACTGCAAAAAGAGCTGCTTCAGGGCATCGTGTACTAATTGCTGCCGCTGATACGTTTCGGGCAGGTGCTGTTGAACAGTTGCGTACCCACACAAAGCATCTGAATGCGCTGCATGCAAACAGTGTTCAGCTTTATGAGCAGGGATATGGAAAAGATCCAGCTGGACTCGCTGCCGCTGCAATTGCTATTGGTTTGTTTCCATTTCCAACATAATTCATCCAATTTTTTGTTGTAGACACGATATAATTTTGATCAGAATAGTGGAGTAAGAAGATTGGAATTAGGTGTTATGTATAAGAAGACATTTCACGATGCAGTCCCTCTGTGTTTCATTCCTTAGCTGTATACATAGACCGAACAATGCTTGCGGGTAGGAGTGGGAATCGTCAGTACAGCCTCCTACCCGCCATGTATTAGAAGGACATGTAACTAATTTGCAGGAAGGATAAGTGAAAGAGAAAAGGAGAGAAAGTGTAATAGCATGAATATAATAAAGGTGGTAGAGCAGATAGGAGGAAATTAACATATGAGAGGGGTAGTAATTCTGTGTAGATGAATTGATACAGAGATACAGAGTTTCCTTTCTTTGCTGCTAGCCACAAGTTACTCTAGATCCTTTTGCGCTGATCTGTCCATCTCTCCAGTTTGTAAGCAATGCACGTGCATGCGACCTGTTGTGAAGTGACAGCGAAAGGATTTGATAACTTTTTTAAAGAGTACTTCTGCTGTAATTTCACGCGAAAATGCTTCTCCTTATTGCCAGCATTAAAAAGATTGTCAGGGCAATCGATTTCGGGTCCTTTTTTTGTTGCTGTCATTGCTGAAATGCTTCCAGAAGCTGTGTGGTTACACAGTGCAGTACCCACTGTTTAGTCCTTGTCAGTATTTTTGTGAACATCAAATTTTACTTATTTGTGATGAAAAGTTTTCTGCATATCATTTGCCTGGCTGGAGAATTCTCATTTATGGCAACGGTGAGACACTTCAAGAATAGATGGACGAACGCCGGCTGAGACAGGGAAAGTAGGGGTTTTTTTTACCACAGTCGTCGTATTGACAAGGTCCAGTTGTGGTAAAGGTAAGAAATGTATACGACTTAATGGACTGAAACATTTCTTACCTACTTTAATAATTTCTTTCATGCTTTTCATTGTTTTTTCTCACATTTTTCCTTTAATCCTAAACAGCAAGAGACTCTTAGGATGGCATTATTGAGAGACCATATAAGCAGTGAGATTTTCTGTCTGACGGCATGCAGCATGTCATTGTGAAACAGTAAAATTTGATGAGCGCGACACATTGCTCGCTTTGCTGATAATTAGTTTGTCGTCCAGTGTTAATGAATGGTATCTGTGAGGAATGGTGCGCTAAACTAAGCACTGGAGCGGGAATGAACGCCCACTGGGGCGGCATCCGAAGAACTAGCGCATACACATCGGAGAATTGGCAGATATTAACTGGAGACACTGAATAGGAATGTATGCGACTTGATGGACCGAAACATTCCCATTCAGATTTTAGTCTTAACTTATTCACATTTCTTTTTTTATTTCCTTACATCTTACATAAACACACAC